AATTTTCAATGCAGACAGGATTCTTCCACATAATGCCAGGTAATATGAATGGAACATCCAACCACATCTTAGTCCTCCCCTCCAGCAGCACAAAACACACATGGCTCAGGGAACTGCCTCATATTTTAGTGATAGTAAAACTTGGAAACAAATATAGATTGGGACTATTGGTTCTAAGAGGTCATTAAAATAGAAATATTAACCAAAAAGGAAAAATCTGCCTGTTTCCTTTCACTTGCCTTGGCCTGAGAACTCCCATGGCAGCGTCCATTAAACCTGGCAAGGGATCTTGTCTGAGCTTTCCCACATCTGAAAACTCAGCAGGACTTCAGCAGTCAAACTTGGAGCATCCTTAACAAAAAAGAAAAAAAGAAGAAAAACCAAACAAAACAAAACACCCCAAAAACAACAACAAAAAAACTAAACTAAGTAGTGCCATGCACAAATCCAGAAGAAAACCTGATCTTTCAACCCAAATTGCAGCCAAGCAACTGTTGCAGAGGAATAAGCCTTCAAACCCATGGGAATGTCTCTCCTGGGAGCAGTTTAAGCTTCCTTAATGCTCTTAATCCACCTTGATATGGAACTGCCAGACACTCTGGCACCCACCTTCCCTCTTCCACATAGCTGCTCAAGTGCTGCAGCATTTCTTTTCCCTCACTGGAGATCCTGACAGCTCTAGGACACAAACTGACCAAGTTTTCCCCCACTGTGTTTGTGGCCTTCCACCTCACTGGAAGTGAAAACCTCTGGTGAACTTTGAGAAAAAAACAGTGTTTTAGGGCAGGTTAAAAACTCCAGGATCCATGTGTGTGTCCTTCAGCTTCCCTAACTCTGCACATGAAACAAAAATACTTTTCCCCTTGCAGTTTCATGAAAGTTAATTAGTTGATATTACTAAAACTGGGTGCATGTACTAGGTATCACTACAAAATTAGAAGTACATTTTCATTGCCTAAAGAATTTCAAGGCAAAAAAAAATGAGCCTTATATCAGAAAGGTTGATGCTGTGTACAGAATTTTCTAAGTAAATGGAAAATATTGTTAAAATGTATTCCTTTAAAACAGCCTGAGCTGAAAAAAGTTCTCACTTTAGGGGGTAAACAGAATTTTGCCTCAGATATTAAACAGAATTTAATCTCAGATATTAACATTGTCTGTTCAATGTCTGAATTTGAATTATTATAGAATTATTTGCAGATGAATTAACTCCAAAACTATTCAGCAGTAGAAGCTGGAAAAGGATTTAGCTCCCCAGTGGTATGAACAATGGGTAAGAGCACCAGGCTGGGATGTTCTGCTGGTTGCAGAAGAAAGATTCTGGGTTTGAATTTTCAGGATTTAAAATCCCTGGAATGGTTCAGCCCATCCATCTTGTCAGAGCACAATCACCAGAGAGAAATGTTCCAGCTGGATTGTGCTCATGAATAAAGAGGTGGGCAGCTATTAGGGGTTCCCTGAGAGACTTTCAAGCCTAGAAATTTGTCCTTCTTAAAATCTGAAATTTGGGAATCTTCCACACTTCTTCCTATGAAACCTGTAACATGTCAGATTTTCAGGAATTACAGCACTTGGGGAGAGGAATTATTTCTGTCACAGCGAGCAGGAACAAAGGGGTGCCTGAGCTGCTGTTGGCAGGATTATTTTAAAGCTACTTAAAATCTGTGCAGAAATTATGAAATCCCTAAATCAGGGATTATGGGCTGCAACCAAAACACATTGATTTAGAGCAATTCACAGCCATTGTCCCAGAGTCACACCTGTGACTTCATCAGGATTCCTGCTCCATTCCCACATCACTCCTCTAACAAAGGGTTCAGATAACAGCAGCAACAGCAGCTGCTGCATTTCCCTTAAGGAAATGGGCCTCAAATCATATTTCAATCCTTTTCCTTTGCAGAAAGGCTTCATTAGCCTGAACCTGCTGCCTCTGGAAGCAGGACAACTGCTTGTGCCATGTCATGTGTTTGTAAGGGTTAATTCTGCACTCCCCAGTTATCAGCAATAAAAACTATAAAATTATTAGCAGTTTGTCCTTTACCATGGATCTTCACCTTCCTTTTGTAAAATTCCAAATGGCAAATTGTCAGCTGCAACACCCATGGGTGATTGGATAAACACTTGATCCCTGTTCCCATCCCTTTCTGAAACCAATTAGTCACATTCTGAATCCTCAACTTCTTAGCTTTTTGCAAAACCAGTAAATAATATTTGAGTCCCAGAATCCTCCAATCCATCTGACCCTTCCAAAATTCCACTTCCCATTATCATTTTCTATCAATACTGCAGGAAACTTTATTATCTGTTGAAGCAAAACCTGGCATTCATTTGTCTTCCCCAGCACTCATCTCTGTGACATCGATCTGAACCAAAAAATATTTCCAGGAATGTTCTCCTTACTGAGGTTTTAAATTACCAAAGCATCAGGCAGCTCTCCTGACCCCAGCCTTCAGAAAGCTTCTAGGATATTTTGAATGACACCACAAGTAATTACAGCTATTCATGTATTTGTATTCCAAAACAACCAGAAGTCATATTGACACAATAATTCAAAACAGCACACAATTGAATACTCTGAAGCTCTGAAAATCTCTTCTCTACACTTGGCCACTTCACACTCCTACTTCTTACGACTATTTAATTACAAATTGTTGGCCTAAAATATTTAAATCTTTATCAACAAATATATGTATCAAGCCTTTCAAATGCAGTGCAAAAGATCTTTAAAATCTGCTAACACTGTCAGGACGCTGTAGCAAAAAAACAACAAACACTTGTCACATATTTTAAGAATCCTTCAAAAATAACGTTGAAAACATGACAATGTTGCAGAACTTTTGCATTCTGTGATGAACACAGAGTCAGTTTGTAACTGAGTATATAAATTATGGTGCATTCTGAGAAGGGAGATCTCTACACAGACCTGCAGAATCTCATTTTCATGGCATAGACTGGGATTTTAGGAATTCAGATTGGACTCTTCATGAAGAGTTAAAGGATCCTACAAAAAAAAAAAGGATCCTACAGTACAAATGAGGACTAGAGGAAAATATCCAGAAAATGCAATTTTGCTGTGAAATATGGATTAAATCATAGCTGATAAATGCCACAGTGATAAAACCCTGTGACACCACGAAGTGCCCCTAAGAGACAAGGGAGTGTCTGAAAGCAACCAGAAGCTCCAGTGGGGTGGTCTCTTCTGACAAGACTGCAAATTCTAGAAAGAAACATCCCTACCTCCTCCAGGAAAATAGGTTAGGTAGTTTGGAATCCCTGTTTTAAGGAAGCAAAAGTCTGACTAACAGGTCAAAAAGGAAAAATAATCCTTGGTTTAAATGTAACTTTTGTGGAAACAACTTGATGAAACTTGTATCAAAGTTAATTTCTGTAATATTTTGTATCTTTCTTTTTAAACCTGAGGCAGGGAAAAAATCCCTGGTGGTGTGGGGTCTACAGGCTCCAGGTGTTTAATTGAAAAGGGAATTTGTTGCACACAAACTGACTACAAAAACGGCTTTACAGAACGTGATCCAGTCCAAATCTCTGCTCACATGAATAAAATGATCCCACTTTAGCCCTACACCAAAACAGGGCTGGGATTTCAGCCTGTATCTGAATTTGTGGATGCTCAGCTGGATTCAGCAACTGCATCAAAAATTTAAAAGTTTGATTTGAAACATTAAAGGAGAACATTTTGATGGTCAGCTATGTTGCCCCAACCCAAAAGCATTGCAGAGGCAAATTTGGATTTCATTTCAGTTCATCAGCAGCATTTAAAAGGTTAATTAAGTCCACATTCTCTTGTGTTTTCAAGTTGTGATACTCATATAGTTGTAAAGTATCTTAAGAGTTTTGGAACAGAGTAAAAAGTGCAAAATAATGAATAATTTGTAAGAATTTTATTATTTGTCCACAGCAACAGAACTGAAAGTCTGTGTTAGAACTCTTTTGGAATATGGTGAGTTTCACATAAATCATGCATATGAAAGTAAAAATACTTTAAAGCAGTTATTTACCTTTTCTAAAATAAAATAATTTAGGCTGTCATCCAGCACTTTTTCCCAAAGGAAACTGAAGCTGGCTGGTAAAGAGGGCAACCCTGGGAGAGATTAATTTCTTGACATTTTGGTCCTTTTTTTTTTTTTTTTTGGTTGGTCATATAAGGACAGTGCCTGAATGGGGTCTTCTCTTCCTCCAGAGTTTCAAAGGGGGAATGACTTAAACCACAAGGAAAAATGAAAGAGATAATGACAAGGATTCTCTCTGTTGGTGTCACTCCTGATGTTATCAACACCATGGTTCCCATTTTGCATTCAGAAATGTTTCTCTAGGTGTTCTGAATGAGTTCTGCACAAAAACTCTGTTCCTACCACGTTGGGTTGTGTGTTGATTCACTGCTAAGAGTGGGAATAGCAAAGGCACAGCTGAAATCCTCAATTCCTAGCAGTGCTCCAGAGAGAAAAATGAGACATTGCTGGGTTTTAACTCTCCTCATTACTCCCTAGAAGGAAAAGTTATATTTGCACTGCCTCTAGGCAAAGTCCCATCCACATGAACAAAAGACTGAAGCTAAGATCACATCCATTTCATCTCCTCCTGCTCTCCACAGATGCTTAAGGCCCTGACACTGTGTCTTCAGTGCTCATATGTCACAGTAAATGATTCATTAAAAATGCACAGACAGATTGATCTTGGAAGGGGGGAAAAAAAGATCTGGAGTTTAAGGCGAAAGGAAAATAGAAATGAGGAGCCAAAAGGTGAAAAAGGGAAACACTCCCAAAATTCACATGAGAAAGACATTTAAAAATAAAGAGGAGACAGCAACTGTACTGACATTTAATGTGTCTGCTTGGGATAAAACTCATCCTTTTACTAGCAATAAAACAACAGCCTAGCCCAAAGCCCTTGAAGAATTTTGCATCAAGTACCTCATAAAAATGGTTGGCAATTTCTCCTAAGGTCTGTAGAATATCTACACCAAACTATATAATTTTTTTGGTGTAATTAAATAGGAGCAAATCCCCAATGCAGGTAGGGAGATCTCCTTGATCCCAGCCACCAACACTCATTGCCAGACCCCTGGCCATGGTGAAAAGTGGGGAGGAAAAGGCAGGAATGAGCTCTCCTCGTGGTGCTGATAAGAGTAACCCCACAGAATGACTGGGTTTGCAAGATTTCCTGGATGGCCAGAAGGATTTGCTCTGCCAGAGGAATCCTGCCAGCAAAAAGCAACCCCTGCCTAAGGATAATAAGCTCCTTGAGTAAGAGACACCTCCTTGCCACAGCAAATTCTCTTATATAGGTGACACATTTATTCTATTTTTATCGAAAACAACCAGTAAAATAGAAATATGGACCATAATTTACACTCTTTCAGAAAAAAAGAAAAAAAAAAACCACCACTGACAACTAAACCAAATCCTTGCAATGGGAAGTACATATATAAATATATATTCACACACACACCAGCAATATTTTTAGCTATGATTTCCTACTCATGTGGCAACATGACCAGTGTTCTGAAGAGCTGAGCCAAGTGAAAACACAACCTGCAGAACAGGTCACGTTTAAATATTCTGCTATTGAAGAATATTAAAAACTACAGATTAAGTAGGAGTGTTGTAACACTTAACATTAATTAACGCTTGTAAATCATTCTGAAATACTTGGATAAAAGATGGTATAAAAGGTGTTGCCACATGTCTTGATGCTTCTAGATGTGCACAAGCCCTGACATCTTATTTTGTGTTTGGGATGTTTCAAATCATAAAAAAAAATATGGTCACTGGATGAATTTAATGTTGGGAAGTGTTGGGACACGACAAAGAAACACCAAGGTTGTCTGATTAAGAACTCAAGCAGACACCTCATTGTAAAACAACTGAAATAGATCCATTTCTTGGATCCTGGTGGATCACCAGGTCTAGTTACTGATCTGTGAGTTACAGCCTGGCAGTGTGGCTAAGCCTTGACTTGGCTGTATATTCATATATGTGAAATACAGATAATTTTCCTTCCAGTTTAGTAACATCAGCTATTCACATCCCAAAAACCCCCCCTTAGTCCATGCCACCAAACAGTTTGAAAGGAATCTGGGAGCACTTAACACCTATCTGGGGTTGGTGAACAGCATAACCAGCTCTCAGAGAACTTGGTACTTGTTGCTTGTGCAAATACAGACCTTTCTAGAATACAGAAATCAAAGGCCAGCACTAAGGCTCTTGTGCTTTCCCACATAGATCTCCAGATCTAAGAGCCATGACTTCCTTTTTATCCAGAGACAGAGATGTGTTTTATGGCATCCAGCTAAAAAAAAAAAAAAAAAAAAAAAAAGGTGTAAGGAGTGACAGCAAACTTGTGAAGGAGCAGAGCCAATTAATGACCTGGACAGGACACACAAACACACTCCAGGTGCCTTCCAGCACCTCGGGGGAGCCCAGCAGAAACACGGAGAGAACAGCACAGAGGGCAACTGGAATGGATTCCAACTTACAGGAGGGCAGGTTTCAATTAGATGGGATATTGGGAAGGGATTGTTCCCTCTGAAGGTGGGGAGGCCTCAGCACAGGGCGCTCAGAGAAGCTGAGGCTGTCCATGGACCCCTGGCAGTGCCCAAGGCCAGGCTGGACAGGGCTTGGAGCAGCCCGGGATGGTGGAAGGTGTCCCTGACCATGGCAGGCGGTTGGAAATCAATGATTTTTAAAGGTTCTTTTTAACCCAAACTCTTCTGTGACTCTGATTCTGTGCTGTAGCAGCAGTGATGCTCCTGAACAGCGTGTCCACAACAGAGACCACCACAGCCGTAGCTCTCACCTGCACTACCTGCAGGACATTTTGGGGCTGGGGTGGCGATGAGGCAGAAGCCCCGGCCAACATTTGACCCCAGTGGCGGAGGCCCCAGCCTCACCCCGCTGTGTTACACCGTTCTGACCCCTCCCAGCCAGCTCCCACCGCGTGGCCGCCGGCAGCGTTTTGCCTCCACCAGCCGAGCCTGGCAGCACAGCACAGCCCCCCAACACCTCGAAGGAGCCCCGCGAAGGTGAATTAGCCACGGCGGGGAGCGGGGTCGGGGCGGAGCGGGGCGAGGGCGCCTGAGGGGCCGCGCCCTGAGGGGCGGGAAGGGCCGGCGGGAGCGCGCCCGTGAGGCGGCGCGCGCGGGCCGCGGGGGGCGGGGCCAGCGCGGGGGAGCGCGCTCCGCCCCGCCGCCGATAGGAGGGGCGAGAGGAGGTGGGCGGGGCTAAGGCACAAACCCCGCGTTGCGATTGGGTGGCGCGGCTGTCAATCCGGCGCGGCCGCCGCGGCCGTGGGGAAGGAGGGGGAGGCGGAGAGGAAACAAAAACAATCGCCCGGGCGCCGCCATCTTGGGCCGGTTCTCCACACGCCACACGGGTGAATGGGTAGATATGAGATTACCACGGGGGAGCAGCGGCAGCAGGGCACCGAGGGCTGTTCCGCGCTGCCAGCGACACTCGGCGGGCTCTAGGCACGGCCGCCGCCGCTCGGAGAGAATCCCCCGGCTCGGCCTTTTCGCCTCGCCAGCCCCTAAGCTGCACTGCTGGAGGGACAAAGTTGGGCTGAGCCGCGCTGCCTCCGCCGCCCGGGAGACCGGAGAGTTGAGCCGGGGTCAGAGTTAGGGGAGAGGGTGAGGAGGGGATCGCTCCCCGCTCCGCCGTGTGGGAGGCGCGGGGAGAAGGCTCTGCCTCCCCGCCCCTGCCGTCTCCTGCTGCTCGCTCCTAGGAGGAAAAGAAAAAAGAGGAGGAAAAAAAAAAAAAAAAAAGAGGCAAGAACTGGATTGAGCTCGGAGGGGTGGATTTTGTGGAGCAGCGTTGGGGCGGCCGGGAGGAGATGTGTCCGTGAGGAGGGAGAGGAGCGTGGATCCATCCAGGAGCCGTGAGCAGCGAGAGGAGCCGGGATCCATCCAGCCCCAGCCGTGAGGCACCGCCGCCTCCCTTCCAAAGAAGCCCATTTCTCCTGGAAGCACGGCACTCGGCAAGGATTTGCCACAAAGAATATACCACCCTCCTCCCCAGCGCCTGGATACTGCATTTTATTTTTTTTTTTAATTTTTTTTTTTTTGGTACCCCCCCTCCCCAGCCACTCTTGTGTGTTTAAATACCAAATATAGCCTCCCGCGGGGGGAGGGGATGGAAATCTCCTAGAAGAATTGGAAATCTTGCTGGGATTCGGGAGTGCTGGTGCTGGAGAAGGGCGGTGAAGAAGGGGGGATGCACTGCTCTCGCTGCCTGGCCAAGGGCTAGAGATTTGCCACTTCCCAGGAAGCCCGAAGGTTTGTTTGTTCCCAGACTGTTGTTTCCCCCCTTTCCCTCTCCTGGGCTGCGCTAAATCCCTCAGCATTTATTCAAGAAAACCCACGTGTAGCTGGTGGCTGGTTTTTAAGGTAGTTTTTAATCTACAAACTGACAAAAAAAAAAAAAAAACTTCCTCTCTTCGCCCCGAGGTTTGGAACTGGAATGGAGCTGCTTTTCTCCCAAACACTACACGAGGTGTGAAGTGGGGGAGGCAGGACGAAAACATCGCCTTGGACTGATCCCGATCCGACCCCCCGACACTCGCACCCACGAGGGATGATCCTTCACAGCGCCTGATGTGGAAAACATTTGGAGACTCAGAGACTTCGTCGAGCTCAGCAGCTTAATCGTTGACTTATTTTGTTTTGGTTTTTATTTTTTTTTAAGTGGATTCGTAGCATTACTTTTATTAATTGAATTTTGCCACCGTTTGTACAGAAGCCAAATGACACGTGTGTTTTGAAACACGGTTCCAAATATATTTATCCCTCCCTCAACCCGGATTCTCTCTAGAAAGAGCCGCGGGGAGGTCGTCAGTGTCTAAACAAACCTGATTTTTAGTGTTTTATGAACGCTACCTGCTGCAGAAATGTTGCTATAAATTGCTTTATAACGGTTCAGCAAGAAGGGAGATTTTTCCAGCTTGCAGGACCCAGAAAACTGGATACTTAAAGTCACTTAAATGTTTTAACAGCATTGGAAAATGGGAGCTGCTACTAAGTTGGCGTTCGCTGTTTTTCTTATCTCTTGTTCATCAGGTAAGTGAATGTTCCTGGAATTGTCACTTTAAACTGAGAGCTTTGGGGTCAGCACTTGAAAACTTGGGCTGGCTCTGTATGAATGAGAAGAAATCTGATTTTTTTTTTCAGGTGTCTGTTTGTGGATGGCAGCCACTGTAAAGGCAGAAGCTGCTTTCGTGTTTATTCTTAAAAATGTGTATAACGTGAGCACTTGAAACGCTCGCAGCGCTTGGATTTCAGATCAATTGTGTGGAATAAATGTGCAGATATAACCACCTAGTGTCACATAAGTAACCTGGCAGCGCAGCTATCGGTGTTGGATGCTGGTTTTAAATAAGAATTACCCAGCTGAAATGCTCTTTCCTTCAGTTTGATCTCTCTTACCCCGGACTATTCACTGGTGAATAGCGACCGGCGTTAATGCTTCATTAATTTGGAATAGGTGCCGCTCTGAAAGGCTGGGCTCGTCCTTTGGTGATAGCGAGGGGTGTGTGCGTGTAGAGATGTACCAACAGAATTGGGGTGAAAAGCCAGGCTTTCAGTTTCTAAAGAATCATTTGTAACGCTTTGTATTTTGGTATTCCTTATGTCACTGCCTTTTAGCGCAGAAAAGAAAAAAAATCTACTAATTTTTTTCTGTCAAACAGCAGAATTGGGGGTTCAAACGCCAGCGCTGAGTCTTGGGAAGCGAGCGGGGTGTGGGGACATCCCCACGCTTTTCCAAGAGGAAAATTGTTATGGCAGCAACCAGTGGTTGGGCAACTGTTGGTCCATTTGTGCTTGGAGCTCGGTCAGTCTCACAAAAACCCCTTTTAGGAGCTGAGTGAGGATCTAACGCGACTTTACAAGCGCTCTGTGCCCGCATTCGGAACTTGCTTTAGTGCTCTGGGTGGGTTTTTAGCATCCTTGCAGGGTGTGCAAAGCTACACTTGTTTATCAGGCTAAAAGCTCCCAGACAAGTGCTCATCCTCCCCGTGTGACCGAGAGAAGGGAGTAATGAGATCCCTGTAAGGATGCCTTTTAAATTTCCAGCGTTAGGAGCTGGAGGATTTTGCTGAAGAGGCCGTTTTGCTGTGGTTAGTAAATGGATAAGTCTCGTCTTGTGTCTGTAGTGCTATCGATCCGCGCTGTGTGCGCTAAATGTGCTGTGAAATGGCGAGCGCTGCCAGGAGAAACCCAAAAACCCTGCCTGTACTAACCAGGGAAACGGCACAGCGGCTTAAGGACAGCCAGAAGGGTGTTGGGGATGGTTAATTTTTATTCTTCTTTTGAAACAAATCATCATTTCTGACAGCTTTTGCCTTGCAGTAAAGACGTGTGTGTCGTCTTTTCCTAATGCCTGATTTTTCAGCTCAGCAGCCTTCCTCTTTATTCAGCGATATGTTTTGTAGGGAAACTTTTTTCCCCTTCTCACTAACAGTTTCTGAAAGACTTGCTGCCATCTGCTCTCCGTGTCTGTCTCTCTTCCACGTCCACTTCTAAGATCCTTTTGCCTAGAGCACAGAATAGTGGTTTTTGTTGACATTACCTATCAGACTTAATAAAAAAGAACAGCTAAGCAATAAAGAACGTCTTTTCTTTAACGTTTCTCGCTCGGGTTGTCCTTGGTAAGGTGAAAAGAATGTTCCTCTTGCCTGTGAAGAATTAATCTTGGCTAAATGAGCAGGAAACTGCCTGCAATCCGGGCTGCTTCTCATGTTAATGACATTGTTTTGGTGGTTATTCCAGTATTACACATTAAGTGTTCCGGTACTTAACAATTATTATACTATTTTCCACTCACACCAGCACTGCACTCTAAAATTTTAGGCAAGTCTAAAAATAAATAAATTCAACAGTAAACTGTTGAGAACTACAAGATTATGCAAGATTTTAAGCTTGAAGTGCAGGCGTTTTTATGAGTAGTGTTTCTTAACTGCCTTATTTCAGTTTAAAACCCTACCTGATGGATTGGTTCTAACATCATCATCACCAGAATTTTCTTTTTCAGTCTTTAGTGGGAAAATCAGTCCTGTATTTTGAAATATTGGCAATGGTTAAGAAAATCCTGGAGTTCAGGTGTGGAGATGGCTGTCTTTGGTGTGCAGCTCCAGCTCCTCTCAGGCTCTTTCAGCGATTGGGGGTTTGGTTTGCTGTATTTGTTCATTTATTTTTAAATACAGCTATTTTCTGCAGATGTTTACATGGCCAATTAATACCGGGGTTCTTTTAATAGGTGAAAATGTTGTGGTTTTTTTTCCTGCGTGGTGGTGTGGAAGTGCTATTTCGGTTCAAAACGATTTATTTTATTATCTGTAAACTGCACTATGAAATGCTGTAAATGTACTGCAAATGGAGAGGAATTTCCAGTGAGTTTAATCATCTTTGTTAAGAGAGTGAAAATATTTCCCCGTTCTGACTAAGATATTTGAGAAAGAGCATCTGTGTTGTTATTAGGCTTTAAAATATTTGTAGATGCTTGGATAGAAGTGGGTGTAGGTTTGCACCCATCTGTAGGAACTCCAGAGGCTGAGATGAATGCACATTAACTAAACAAGAAAACAAAGTGCCCGGGTCAAGGTTCTCCATGTGCCCTCTAATATACTTCTTAGATAAACCTGTGTGCATGCTTGATTTCAGAAGGAGCAGAAGATCCTGAAGTAATAATAAAATCCTTCAGAACAAGCTTCCCGTGCCTTTGCTGTAGGTGAGGCAGGATTGGAGGGGAGCTTCACAGGAAAACTTGTGACCGAAGCAGCCTGTTCATCAAAGAAAGCTCTCTGCAGATGCTATCTGGGTGCTCCCCTCCCCAGGGAAGTGTGGCTGTGTTCTGGTGGTTTTGTGATTGCTGAGCCACACTTCAGAGCATTTCAGGAACAGAGAATGGGCACTTCCATAATTTTCTGAGTTTTTTGAAACAATACACCCCGTGCAGCTGAAAGTGTGGGAGATGCTGAAGGAGTGGATTTTTCTTACTCATAATCTTAGTTTAAAATCTCATCGTTCCTTTTGTTACTCACAAACTCCTCATTTCCCAACCCATTATCTCTTCTGAGATACCTGCCCTGCCTTTGGTGCCTGGGTGGTCCCAAATCAAAGTAGCTCTGTGGTCTCCTACAGGGAATAAGACCTGGATTTTTTAGAACTGAAGCTAAAATCGAGCTAA